CCGTAGTAATTACCACAAATTTCCAATTACCACAATCGTCCAAAAATGACGAAAAATTACCACGGTAGTAATGAAATTACCACATCTGGTCACACTGATCAAAGTTATTGAGACGTGATTTGGGGGCATTTACATGGGGAAACCGCTGTAGAGAAAACCTAAGTAATGATTGGACAATTCTTTATGATACAAACCAATGATAGCTCTTCATCAGTCATCACTACATAGGACGGCAAACCAACTCCACTCTCGCGCCTACTGGCAAGAACTTTGTTTAAATTTCTACCTGTAATTCGTTTTAACAAAACCTGTACTCTCGGTTCATCAAATGCCGCAACTTTTGTAGCACTCTCTGATAACAGTCTTGATGTTTGACGCAAAATTTGGACTGAAACAGGCTTGAAAATACGCAAAAAATTACGGTGGAAAACGGCCGCCATCTTGACCGAGCAACCGGAAATTAGAAATAGATCTGGGACGAGGAAACATACTTTTCATGTAAGCTGCATATAGTGGATCCAGGAAAGTCATGTTGATCTAAAAACCGAAAAGCTTTCATGCAAGACATTTCAAGTTTAAATTTTGGCGATCGTTTAAGGAAATCAAACAAAATCTCATTTGAGGAGGGATATTTTTGTCCTATTCTACGCTCTTGCATTGGATATAATGTGTGAGACATCTCAACGGGGTATGAACATTTGAGTTTATTCTTGGTGTACTATGAACAATGAATAATAAAGAATACAGAAGAAATTATTCGTGGAGTTGGAAGCGATATATCTTACCACTACACAAGACATTACAGCGTGTCGTCTTCCTCTTCTTTATGCTTAGTGTGATGTTCGTCTTTTACTATCTTTATAAAAACCATGAACTTGCTTGGCAGTCTATGAAGAGTCGTATTGCCATCCCAGCAAGGTTTTATCACAATTTTCAAAATACCAGTCGTGTTCTACGACAGTGAGTGGGCGTTCATTTTGGTTTCCATGTGGTGGATCTCTAATCTATGGATGTTTACTGAAATAATGGTTTATATAGCTATATATGTATAGTTTTGTACTACAATATGAGGACTAAGGGTTATATTCCATTTAGTATCCAAAAAAAACCCCAACTATTATGTCCACTCACCCTGTATGGGGTGATTAGATAATTCCAAAGGTCAGTATTAGGGTAATAATTTAATTACAAAATGTAAAAGGTTTGGTTGTATGGTGGTAGATCAACTGATGCATGAACAGGCAAGGGCATGTCCAGAAATGTGTGATTCTACTTTAAAATATAGCAAGAACTGTGACGATTTAGTCAAACTCCTTTGTTCGGAACGTCAAAGTTGTTGTTACATTGTTCAGGTAGGGTGGGGTGGATACTAAATGGAATGTTCCATATATAATAGAAAAAACCTGATGCAGGAGCATAGGAAGCTTAGGAAAAATTTTGAAAACTTCAGAAATGGTCTTCTCTACCTCTTTGAAACATTTTGTTAGGCCCTTTCATTAATTTTTTCATTATGATTTGTGAATCTATGCTGTCTGTGAGTCAGGATGCATTGTTATTATTTGGGGGGCTGAAAGCTATTCTGCCCGCCCCCCTTTTAAAATATCTGCTTCCTATGCCCCTGACCTGATGTGAAATGGTTTAACTTTAAGTGGGGAATGATAATTGTATGATTGTACTGTACATTTTGATTAGCAATCAGATAGGGAAATTTGTATGAACTATGAAAAGTGATATGTTCTGTGGGATTCAGATATATCTATAAGAAAATAATGAAAATTATCTGTATCAATTTTATAAAAAAATGAATTCATTACATAATTTAATTGGATTCTCTGACATCTTATCCTTCACCCAATCCAGTATAGTGCAAAATTAAGACAAAATAACACACGTTTGAATGTTCACAACTTTTGCATAATATCTGTACAGTTAATACTTGTTACAAGTTTTTACTTGCCTAAAATTTCTATGGTCAGCATTTTCTCATAAATAGAAAAATATTACAATATTCATAGGCTACTTATTTGCGCCCTAAATCGCCCTCATTCAGTGAAGTTGATTACTTCCATAAATTGTTACATTCATTCTGATTACTAATTACATTCTGATTACTAATTAGTATTACCAAAATTGTAAGTATGTAAAATTGAAGAAGTACATTCCTCATTTCACTTAAGCCTGATTCACGAGGTAAAGCAGAATCAACACCACCTTCGAAATATCTCGACAAAGTGAACAAACTTAACTTGTTGCAACTGCGTAAAAATTTGGTGCAACTGCGTAAAATATTGCTACGAAAACATAATGATGAAGGGTTGTTGTAGGTGGAAATTTACACTAGAATTTTACATCTACAAAACCCCTTCAACACTTCGTTCTATCGAGCGAGATGTCAAAAATCCTGTTATGAAAACATACCATGTTATAGCGTTATTCCTCGAAAGTTTCAAAGTTTGCGCCCTCGTGTTTCGTGCAGAAATAGCGGTCAACAAGAAGGTTAGGAAACTGGATGCAGATATAATAAGGAAGAGGTTATTTCGCTGGCCTCAGAGTGACAAAACGTAACCAAGCAAAGGTTTTACTAACCCTAATCTTATTCCAAACTCTAATCCTTACCCTAACCTAACCCTACTCCAAGTTTGTTTCTAAACCAATCTTGAAGAAAAACGTTTTGACGAAATGTCATTCTGAGGTCAGCGAAATAATTTCATCCACATAATAAACCTCGTTATCTATGTTTTGTCTTGGTTTAATGCAAGAAATGGTCGGTTCATCGCCACGTGTGTATTGTATTTTCGCTAAAGCAACCAACAGCTATATTTTCATTGAACCATTATGTAATATCACGACTGGGTAATTAAACCGACACACTGCTCTTGGTTGTTGGGCGAAAAAACTACACGCTGCATGTGACGATGAACAAAAACATAGATAATGAGGTCTATTATGTTTGCATCGAGTTCTCTCACCTTCCATTCTATTGACTATGGTGCAGAATAGGGCTGTGATTGGGGTCAAGATCAAAGAGAAATATATTCATGTGCCAAATATGAGGATATAACAACACGCATGGTCATGCATTACTCATTAGGAAACAATCATATTTGATTCCCAAGTGTGATTTTTGTTGGGGAAACAATCAAACAACATGCTTTGGTTTTCCCATCTTTTCTAAACGTGGTCAAACTAGGGCTTTATTTCAGGCTACTTCATATCTTTAATGCAGTTACTCTTTTGCTTTAAGGCCCGTGAATCAGACTTAAATTTTCATAATCACAACAAATCTTCCACCATTTCAATGGTTCACATGAAATGTGCAATTGCTATTATTTTAAATAGATAAATATATGTCTTTATTGATATTGATTCATTTCTTCGATAATACCTTTCACTCATCAACGGTACAATGTTCTATACAGCACCGGCTTTGGGTTAATCTAAGTTACCCAACAATCAAAATAAAATGTTTGGTAAAAATATTGCCAAGTTGGCGTTTTTCATGTGTTTGAATCAGCTTAATTTTTATTCCCCCATTTCATTTGTTCTAGCATTCCATTTTGAATTGAAGTACCGTTTACGACATGCGTTAGCACGGCCGGTTTTTTCTACATAAAATTACTATTTTTGCATATAATACAGTATATATTGTTCTCTTCCAAGAGATTTCAAACTTCAACTATAGATCGTATATAGTAAGATTGAGTCTTACAAATTACTGTCAAATTGTGTTCATTAAAAACTACTTCAATCTGGAGGCATATCTGCTTCAGTAATTCATTTATGGTTAAAAATTCGGAATGCTTAGTTCTAATGTTTTATATATAATATCAGCCTCTTGTGAAAGCGCTCTTCCAGGGTCATTGAATCAACATGAAAAAAGAATCTATATAAATTTGGAAGTTGAAACTATGCCATCGCTCTTTCATTTATAAAATTCAGTTAAAACACTTCCCGTCATGATGATCAGAATCACTCTTGAATATACACAATATCTACTGTATTCACTTGAGGGGAAATTTCGTGGTAGCATTTTATATATAAACTTGTCAATACTATGATTTCTTCTGGATGTAACTACCATACATCTCATAAATCTACATATCGCATTCAGTTATATCCAAATCGTGCCGCAAAATATGCAAATTACCATACAGACAAACGTGTTAACGTTCTATACTGGTGGCTTTGCGCAACTGGCAGCGCGCACGGGATCGGCACGTATGGGTGTGCACGCTTGGAGAGATAACACGCACGTTCTAAAAGCTGCGTTCTCTCGGTCGACCATTTCCACACAAGCTCTTCTTCTATTGCGTTAAATCGACTTTGGACAACTTGGTACTGGCTGAACAAGAAGTCTCTCTATTACCTCTGCCGCGTCATCACGACCGATGTCCTTTAATATTAGATAGAGCTTATATACAGTAGAATCTCGCTTTGTACCCCAGCGTTCTAGAAGTTGCTGAGTAGCACTGGTTGGGCACAGAGCCAGGTTGTTTATAACATTCCAAGGAAAGTCCAACATACTGGCAACTTTACGCCAGTTACTTGGTGGACTTGTCGGATTTAAAAAGTTCGCAAGTTCTTCAATGATGTCGTGAGAGACATCTCGTAACATCATACCGTTCTCTTGTATTCTTCCTGGTTTTCTGTTTGGAACTTCGTGATACGGATAACAACGTTCTTCGTTTGCTGGTACTAAATACGACAGGAATATAATCAAATTAAATCCACAGTGGTGGGGCTGGAACCATAGGTATCTTATATACACTAGATAGCGCATCTCTTTTAGTAAAATTGAAGCCAAGAATATTCCAGCGGTTAACCCCATTTGAATAGATACGGCCATATTGGAGTTTCCCACTCGCTAATAAACGCTTAAAAAACAGCAATAACTTTCATCATTTGAATAGTTTGAAAATGTATTAGGAATAGGTTTAACTTAATGTTTAAGTTCCCTGTTTAACAAAAAGAAGACAAACGAGTCTTCTCATTTCATGGGAATATCCTGAGTCTGCAATCACGGCTTCAATTTTTGAATTGCAGAATAATTAACCTGCGAACAGGCTCTCTTTGAACTCTCTTTGAATTGGCAAAGAGCCTGTTCGCAGGCTACAGAATAATTAGATGCACTATCTAGTGTATATAAGATATCTATGGCTGGGACGTGTATATAAGTATAGACCAAAATATGGGCCAACATATAGAACGGTTCGGCAATGAGAACCTATACTGAAACGTTATAATTTATCAGTTTTGCGTTTTAAACAATGTATTTTACATACAGCACACGGATTCGGGATCATCAACAAATTTCGTCAACCTCTGCACAATCTGCGGGTCCTCAGCCTGGATGATGACATTTTGCTGTCTGGTTCTTGACTGCATATGACACCATATTGTAACTCCAATGACAAACGCTATAAATAGAACGAGAAGGAGCGCCATAGCTGCTATAAAGAATGGCATAACCCAGCTTTCACGTTCCTCTCGGCCAGCACTTGTTGGGCTTTTGTTGCCAACTGTCCGCCCTGAAGGTTAAGCAGTGAGGATAGAAATAAGTTAAAAGAGTCAACGCTTTGCAAAAAAAAACCTCGTGAATTTTCATCTGATTGTCTAGATTTCACTTTCATTAGCATTACCATTAAGGGATCATTAACCAATCAGATGCATTTAATCTACCCGATTAACCAATCACATACGTACTTATACGCCCGTATTCTAAAAGCTTTCTCACACTCAATGCGTGGAGGTTCCAATCAAAGCTTCTCTTGAGTGTCAATGCTGTTTTTGAATAACTGGAGGGTTAGTAGTTACATAGTAAGGTATGACGCTAACCCTCCAGCTATTCAAGAAACAGCAATGACACTCAAGAGAAGCTCAGATTGAACTTCCACTCATTGAGCGTGAGTGTGAGTGAAGCTTTTAGAATCGACGGGCGGTAGTCAGTAAAAGCTAGATAGTGGAATTGAAATCTAAACCTCAATAATGTTCACAAGATGGGTTATATAGAATAACTAGATCTACGATAACATGGGCGGTAGTTAAGATTGCATACATATCTTCTTTGAATTAATGACATATGGTTTCCGAAACTTTCACTAATTCTCATATCTAAAACTTTAATGCCTTTAAAATATTTTCGGGCCAGTTTTGAAATGTATGAAAGAAATCTATTCTGCCTTTACATTCTTTGCAGCTTACCGATCTGCGTGCTTGAAGTCGTAATTTCTGTCGTTGGAGTAGTTGTGATCTTAGCTGTGGTCTTTGGTCTGCATTCATAGTTTGTGAATGGCGTACACTCGCTGAACATTTCTTCACCGTTTTTACATACCGTACATTGCATGCACCTTTGTGTGTAACTGTCTTGATCGCTGTATGTTCCCTGTAGATAAAAATATATCGAATTCTAAGCCCCCAGTATAGTCTGACATACAGCCGGCTTGAGACAAACGTCGCTCGTTTCATGCACTGAACCCGCATGACACATAGTCAATACGACACTAGAGCCAAGGCTGGCGGTAGACCTCTTTGAATGGGGGAGGGGGTGTAAGAGAATTTTGTCGAGTTATTTTCCCACACATTACGGCAAGACACAATATCAAAACAATTTCATCTTATTGTGTGTTGAACTACCGTTGTTCGTTCCATTCTTTCGTAAATTTCTCCACATTTTATCTATCATTCTTAATTTTTAATCAGTGTCCCCCAAAATGTTCTCTTCCTCCTATCCAAAGTCATGTCTTGCCGACTACGAAAACAATTTGACGACTGGGATGCGACTACTTGATGACTGGGGGGTGGGTTCGCTTTAGGACGCACCTCGGATGGCTGGAAGTTTCCCGAACCCACCTCCCTTCGCTCGGTGAGTTCGGGAAACTTCCAGCCACCCGAGGTCACCTCCCTGCAAGTACGTTTGTTATAGCGCGCCACCCCTGACTAGAGCGACGTTGCAGCGGTTGTCAAATCAAACGTCGAACTTAATATGTCGCTCCCAATGTAAATCATGGATTAACATAAATATATAAAATACATGGAAATAAATGACATATAACATAGATGAAAATAATTGATGAATTAGATCTGGCGATGAGAAGAGCAACGCTTGAATTGCTCCAGAGTCGTATTGCCGGCGACCTGTCGCTCGGGCCTACCACCGAAATACAACTGGTGCTTCTGCATCCAGAGTTTGCATGTGATAATCCTCTCGGCAAAGGTTAGCCATAATCCGTATAAGTTAAGTTTTCTTGGGCATTGGGATAGGCCAGACGAATGCCCACAGGGCCTATACTATGGGAAAATGGACTTGATGCGGTCCTCAACAGCAAAACATTATTCCCGTTTTAATTTATATATTACTGACTTACCACACCACACTTTTTCTTGTCACATTCAGTATCCGAGTAATTTGCACATTTTTTGTTCACGCCATACCCTGCCGGACAAGTGGTACACTTTTTACAAACGTCAAAAGCCCTATTATGATAATACCCAGGGTTACAATCACCGTATTTTTTGTTATGAAATCTTGTACAATCTTTTAAAACTTTTCTGTTAGATTTATACTGCTGGTTACAAGTTCGACAACTCGTTTCGCCATTTGCTGCCTCCTGATAATTAGTCCCATCTTTACAAGGCTTGCATGTTGTGTTGTGTCCAACTTTACAATGTCGTTCCACACTCTCTCCTGCAGGACATTTTAAACAACATCTTTTATCTATCAGATAATGAGTGTCCGGACATGGCATTGAGTAAACGCGGAAATCCATAAAGTCCTAAATAAAAATATAGTATAAACAAAGATACAGATTTCGAAGAAAAACACCATCTTCAGAATTGAATACATATATATTAGTTTAAAAAAACGAGTAAATTTTCAAGTTACGTTGAGGGATTACAAGACATAAACCACCTGAAAAAAGCAAGAAATTCAACGTTTCGTGCATGGTTCCTGTTCATCGCTACACTGGGATCCCACATTGAAGAATATATTTCAGATCATTGGGCTAGTATTCCAAAGGTCGATTCCCACCGTGGCCAGGCATATTTTTCAAGCCTGCCCGGTGTGGATATACACTCAGAGTAACATCACAAGCATCATATTCATCTGAGTACATTACACCAACACAAAAGAAAAATATTTCCGGTGACCATCAGACATGCAAGAGTGTTCATATTGTGTTCAAGTGAATTCAGGAGCTAGCAGTACAACGCGCGGTCCACCTGTGAGCTCATATATTTACACAGAACTGATTGACTGGGGGCTATGTATATCAGTCTTCGTGAATGCTTCCTCACTGTTTAGCTATGTGCACGCCGGAGTACTGGATGAATGAAGAAACAGTTAAAGATGGAAGTATACCACCGTGGTAGTAATGGTCGGGGTCTACACAGAGAAGTTAAAATTGGCAGTACATATTAACGGGATAACTCATAATGACTAAACAGTTTAAGATGTCTGTGAACTCTAATGTAACACTCACTACCAAAGAGGCTCAAGCTTGTAGCAAATAACCACAACACCAAGCTGAGGTGGGCAGGCTTAGGGATGGTATTTCCTACTCCCTGTGACACAATATGAATGAGTGTCAGTGAAGTCTTTTGAAAAGTTTATGGCTATAATTAATTGAGAGTCAGTTAGTCTGGCGACCCGCCGTAGCTAATGAAGGGAATTGCGTTAGGAAGTTGCCAAGCAATGTTTGTAGAATAAACACTGGTTGTTACGTGTCGTCCAAGGCCATCCATCATTCGGCCCTCGATTGGAAGTGAACGTACGAGTGGAGAATGCACCCTCTCTAAAGTTTCGCATCTATAATTAGAGAACGAAGCTTGGCATGTGCATTTTGGTAGATCATTATATAGAACTTTATTTTGCATCTGATTACCAAACGCAAATCTCTTTCGTAAAAGACTACCCTACGATAAGAGAACTTTTCTCTTGTCAGATTTCCATCCTGTATTTTGAAATGCATGAACTTCGAAATTGAGGTTCGATACCTTGTATACTGGCATCACCCACAATATATTTACAAAAGCTTTTGCTTAGATCTCGACCGACTAGCTGGACTCTAGCTCAGTTGGTTAGAGCGCTGCACTGGAATGCAGGTTCGAATCCTGCCTACAAAAAACCTTTAAACTGTCTTTGAAATATGACACTTGTTGAATATTTTACTAGCAGGTAACTAAACAGGCATGTAATAAATATTGTTAATTCATCCTTTGATACTTATATACTGCAGTCAGAATTGTATAACAGCCCTGCACGACGTGCTTATATATATATAGTTGCTGAGTTTGACTTGTTGATCATGATATTTCATGCGTTGTTGGACGTGGAGTAAAAATACTTAACTAGGTGGTAAATAAACCTACTGACAAAAATATTATAGTTATTGAAACTCTTCCCTCTAGCGCTCTCCTGATGTTGAAACTCTTATATACTGTATAATGTTCAAATATTTTCACCCCTTACCTCTTAATAAAATGAACAGTTAAGACCGCACTCAGGGATTTATAATACAACGTATATTTTCGCTTGACCTCGCTCTGGACGTTGACTGTAATCATCATGACATCTTTTAGGGATGGAAAAGAATATACAGCGAGAATTTTTCTTTTACAATTAATTAATTCACATTTGCCAAAATGTCTTCAAATATATTGTAAAAAATATAATTGTGCAGAGAGACTGAGTTTCAGGCTCAATTGCAGATTGAGTTTTTACTATAACTGCAGTAAAAAAGTACTTGTTTAAACTCCTGTATCTATAACTATTATAAAATGCAGTCCATTGACTCTATTATATTTTGAACAAAAAACCCGGCTGAGACCGATTTGTCTTGGATCGGTTCACTTCTACAACCGAGCTCAGATTTCTTAGTGCTTAGTGGCCTGGCATTCCCCCCAGAGTACAGTTAATTCATTCGCGATTTTGTGCAAGTGTGGACTTTTTATCCAAGGAACTGGACACGGATGTTTGAGATCGCTATCATTTCGGATCGATAAAAAATTAAAAATGTGAGCTAACCTAAGTGTGAACGGCTCTTCGTGCAGTATAATATATTATTCAACGCTACCCACATTCGACCCAACATTCAAAATTTTATAACTGCAATAACTTCTATATACAATACATTATACTCGGGCTATTTAACCACTCCTATATATATTTACACTGCTAATAAATCTCTGGCTTTGCCTCCAACCGCCCTAACCATTCATTTTACAATCTCTCAAATAATGTCATTATGTTTATATATTTCTTATGATACTATACCCATACCGCAGATATCAATAAAGAAAAACCAAAGCTTAGACCTTATCTTTATAAAACAATGATAACTTCAGATATTCAACCCATGCACCGACTTAGAAATTTACATTGAAAAGAACATGTATAATAAGATCCATAGAAAAGATACAGATCATAGTCAATATTCTAGACAAAAAAACAAAACCGTTACATAACCCAGAGAGGTTATTTCTAGATCAACTGACAAAGTTGTTAGCCCAAAGTAAACCTCTTTGTCTCGGCAAGGCATCCACTTAAAGAAATATAAAACAGAGCAAATCCAAAGATCTTCTATATACATAAACAGACATGCGAAAACTCATGCAGAGTCCAGAGAGAATACAGGGTGTATCAAAATAAACGCAATTAATCTTTTGTGCTTAATAACTTTCGAAATACTATTTCTAGTTAAACGCTTTTAGGCTTACTTCAAAGCCTGTTCTTTTCTCTTTCAAATAAACTATTATCCTTGTCTCTAATGCTAGTAATAATTGCACAGGAAAAGATTTAGTAAAACCTATAATTTTTAGTTGCTGTTTAATTATGCAAGTTTACTATGTTATTGTTTAGTCGGTTTAAATGTTAGAATTTTCTTCTTTAAACTTTAATGTTGTCGTCACTACATCTGGAAAACCACGTAAGAACAAATTAAAGGGATTTTAAAAGAGACCAAGTTGTTTGAAAATCCTAAACGAATGCTAAAAATCGTCAAAACATTCTGGTGTCTGAGCCAGAGTGTCATCGAATTGCGATGTAATGTAAACAGAAATTATAGCAAGTTGATGTCAGTCAACTTAGATGGTCCAAGCCAAAATTATATCGCATTTGAAGTTTCAAACTGAGTTAAAAATAGTGGAAGAAAAGCCGTAATTATACTTATTGTTACAATCCATTTAATAAAATGCAATATTTTTTTGTTTTAATGAAAAAATCAGTTATTTTCATGAGAACGATTTGTTATTCCATCTCAATTTTTTTAATCTCCAATCGCAATAACGTAAAGTATTATTTTCCGCGAACCAATGAGTCAAATTTAAGAAACAACCCACTGTTAGAAAGCTGAATGGCTACGCTTTAAAATGAATGTAAACTTTAACGTTTTCGTCTATTATTTGTTTAGCAATTTACATTTCAGTCGAGGATTGCGCTTTTTTTGATACACCCTGTATATATATTAGTTGAAACTTTGCCTTGAGTGTTTTGATAATATTTTTGCCTATATAAAGGTTGTGAATTTGAGGCATCTTCATGCGTGCATGATTTTTTATACCACACTAATATTAGGAGAAATATCATATTAGCTAGAACTCAAACAGAATTGCTACCATTCCTTTTTTCATTCCATCCTTGAGTGTGTATATAGTTAAGATATATGCCTGTAATGTTAATTCTGGGGACATTTCAAGCCCTAGATTAACAAAATAAAGATTTAAGAAATGTTCCAACCACTTTTTAACTTAAATAAAATATATCAATAATGTTGGGAAAGCATATTAAGGATGTATAAGGACAGCTAACCAACGTGCAAGGTCATCATAGCTCATTTGCCGACGCCGATCCGGGCTTAATATATATTAATAAAAAATGCATTAAGATGCCCGCCTCAAATTCTGTAACAATTCCCGACTGCCAATTCCCATCAACCATATTCTCGTTTGACTGGAGCTTTTTATTGTATAATAATTTGTTATATACATATTAATTCTGACTCTTGGCCGAGGCAAAAGAGTAGAATTTGTTTCAATACAAGAGCCTGAAGAGTTGATGCATATATAGATCCTGCATATGATATATTGAAGAAGTGCTAAATGACTTTGTGAGAGCAAACTGCGTTTTTGTCGATGTGATCATTTTATCACGATATTACTTAACCTTAATCTCGTGGCATAAATACAATTTTATAACCCAATTTGGCTTTTAGTATTTCGGTGTCTTCTTTATATTGAATCTATAGCTCATTCTTGTACATAGCTAACCACACGATAATATGAAAAATGTTGTGAACTTTTGCGAACGCGATTTTCATGATGACGTTAATAACATTTCTTAAATAACTTTCTACTTAGGAAATCGACTTGAAAAACCGCATGTTTATAAACATTTCACATTTTAACGGATACTCAAGTATTATAATATCTTTGAGCTATTTTTAGACCGAACGGGTCTAAACCGACAACGCCATTTACACCTTAGCTTCCCCCATTACCGTAAAACTGTTTGGCAGTTTGCGGTAACGTTTCGCTCTACTTGCAGAAAACCTAGCGATGTTTTATCGAGGAAATTTGCTGAGCATGCTAAAAGAACCTATGAGCTACGTGCAGATACAATATCACCATCGTAGCCGACAGTTTGAACAGTCATTTCAAGCAAACGTTCTAAATTTTGCAACACATGCAAATGACTCACAGCAAGAGACAAAGGCAACAAAATCGATAGGAAAACATCCATTATGCACCCGTAAGAGTGATTGTGCGCGACTACAAAGTGAGCAACGATGCGTTCAGAGAAACTATGTTCAAACAAGAGCACTCGACAGTCAATGTCAACACAGGATTTACCCAAAATTTGCTTGTACTTTATCAGATGATATGCTTTCTGCGACATATAACAATTTTTTCGATAAGACGACGATCTAGAAAACGCTTTTAAAGAACATGCATGCGACAACGGAAGGAAGATGTAGTGTGTTCTTCACAATACAAAACTTTAAGCCCTATAATTAGCGAAGTATTTGCTGGAAGGGGCTTAACACGTTTTGACCTGTAAAAGTCGTGATGCTGATAACACTATTATCTTATAGTTTTCAAAGTGGGCTGCGCCGTTATCTTGCACAGAAAAATCTGTTTCTCAATTGACAGATCTGCAGCACATTTCGTGTGTAATAATTCTCTTAGCCTTTCTTAATGCAACAATAGAATTAGAGGATCGTCGTTTCAAACTCCGCTCACATACAGTATACACTACGTGGTTTTTATGCAACTTGCAACTGAAAAATTATGAGATAAAATGAGTTGCTGAGGTCCTTGCGTTCAACCTGTGGGCAAGCCTACGAGTAACTATAGAGTTTCAAACACTTAATCGTGGACCGTGGTGATCTCTCAACTTAGAGAGCAAAATTTAGTTTTATAGGGTATATTGATTTGATGAGACAAACTGTCGAAATACTTGATAAAAAACTTACAAAAATGATAAAAAATTAGGCTTTGTATCTCTTTGGCTATAGTTTTTACGCTATACTGCATGTGCTTCGGTCGATGCTTCGCTTCTATTTACATAGGATTAATTAATTTACTTCTTAAAGTTTGCGTAACCTCGAAGTTCGCGTAACTGGACAAACGCCGCTAAATAATATGCGATCCACAATTCCTGGATTTTATGCGAAGGTAATGTACTCAACAGTGTACTCTTGGACAACTAAACTATAGATTCGTAGACAACGTAAAGCCCGTGAAGAATGAAAGCAAACATTCACTACTGTTTGTGAATTATTGAATCTAAATCATGCGGTATATTTGAGATTGAAAGAAGAAGGATTAAGGGCAGGAGATTTTGTATTCAAATCATTCAATTAGTGTGAAACATGTACTGACCGATTACCTCGATTGATGCATTACACTTTGTCATGATTAATAACTCGAGGATTTCAATGATTTTATAGCTCGCATGAAAACATTGAAATGACCACTTGTTTTTCGTGAAGTGTTGTCAAAGAAAACGAATCGGAAACATTTGGATGTCCAACAATCGCGAAACAATCCACAAAGATTTAGCGCGGTTGGTGGGAAATCCTTAAACAAATAAACACAACACTATCTTCTCTTTTCATTGTAATACTTTCCACATCAAATTGAAAAATATTTTTCCATTGGGGTTCGAGCTGCGAGATCAAATTCGACAGAAACAACAACATTTTGAGATATTTTCCAAACACTTTAGTCTTTAACCCACAACGGATGTACTGTAATAAACTACGATTATAGAATATCTGGTAATTACACTCATACATGCGTACTGCATTTACAGGCAAGAGTTTAGCCAGCCATGGTTATTCAAGGGACACACGGTATTAAATCGCGGAGGTGTGGTATCACAACAATATACATGTGGCTAACTCGCTGTCAGTTATTACACATCAAAGCAATGATCGTTATAAGATGCTAAGCTCTTCATAATAATATGTACCCGAATGTGTTATTTCTTACTGCACAAGGTCGGAGAGGTCACAGGCTGGCAAGTTGTCTGCACAATTTATATATATACTAATAACAAACCCTTAGCATGTTATCACACATACTCCCGCGCACCTTACGCGAGCTACGGTCGTCATAAAATCACACCAATTCCCATTTTTCCTTTCAAGTACAAAAATGAGGTCATTTAAAGGAAAGTATTTAACCTGCGATTCAGAAATTAACTTTGCGACAACGCGATTATAAACAAGTCTTTGAAGAAATTGAGATGCCGCCCTCGTCAAGTACTTGCCATTAAATGCCATAAAGCACAGGATTTCCTTGATATTGAGTGCAGTAGCCTCTCGATGAGTTGTTCACCTTTTCACCGAATGTTATTTTAACAAAATTTGACTAAGTCGTGCCAATGCCCACCGATGAAATGTCATCGATAGTCTACAAACAGTGTCAGTTGACATACCTGTAGCGCTGGTAGTATACAGAGGACTTGAATCCATCTTCGCAACTCCATAAGCCTAACATTGGGTAGAAATTAAGATAGATCAATACACCATATGCATGATACAGAACTATATCACACTATCAGTCAAACAGGAATTAACAGTTCACAGGTTAATGGCATGCGAGGAATGCAAGAGGTGGCCTTCTGATTGGTCCATCGAACACATCGAACACTTAGAAAACCAATTAAATTTTCGAAACGTGTTTGGGCAGCAACTCGTCAGAAATACTGCTCGTATCTAATATTACGAATTAAGAATAACATGGTTTCTTCGAGGGGTATCGTGGTTTAACTCGTCAACACAGTCGCGCCAATGTGCGCAACACAGTAAACACATGTTGACAACACTTAAGCTTACCAATCACGTTTCTATGTACACCAAGGAATCCCCCGGTGTCGTGCATTTGTTTTGACGGTTCAACGAACGGCGAACGTTTAATACTTCGTTACATTGTGTTCGAATAACGCACAGTTTCGAACTTTTGTCGAATAATATGCGTTTTTCTTCGGATTTAATGAAAGCGTAGTATATATATATATATATATGAATATCATACCAGCCATTTGTCAAATATTAGGTCGTTCGAGTGGGAGTCGGAAATCGAGTATTTAATAGTTGCCTACCCAACTACCTGGGTAGTTAATATAGAGCAGAGCTTTTAATACTTTTGGCTATGAGGACAGGAGTCTTAATCTTCATTTGCACGCTAGTACGTCACGCCATATTTTCTGATGTGTCCTGGAGTTGCGACAACAAAATATGGCGTGACCAGAAAATTTATTATGTATCTTGTATACTCACGTAATTAGAATCTAAATATTCTCACAGTAAAACCATCAGTCCACCACACGTGGTTTTTGTTGAGAAAATGTGAAGTTTAAAATTTGGCTGCGTTGCTGTCAGGAATTTTAATAACAGTTATACGAATTCGCTGAATCTGGCCACTTTCGTGTTTATATAATTACGTCCTAATGTTTTCACGCTAGCTGTGACATATAGATTTGAAACACTATCACATGAATAATTCCTAGATATATTTCTGTGGGAGTTATATATAGCGTGCCACATTCATGGAAAACACATATGTTGATAGTGTCAACCCTATATCCAAAACTGTGCTTGTATAGATTGAAATTATAAAGTTGGCTGAATTTTGACATCGACTATGTCCATCAACAACATGTATCGATCCAATGAATTGTCAATAACCGACTTTTCTCATCAATAAACCATACGTACAATATAATATAATACAATATGAAAATAAAAATATGATCGTGAAGTGGCAGTATGCTTCCTCTTGCTAGTAAAAGAAGGATCTTAATTAAGCCAATAAAACGCACTCGATATTATACAGAGGCATGCACGAACGACAAAGGGTTAGAAATACCATGGATACCAAATTCTGTAACGCAAGCTATTAAATGCATGCAATGATAAAAATGTCAATGGGTATAATATAACTTTCCCTGCGGGTCAAATTATTTTGGATGCTGCATAAGATTAAGAAAAACGTTTCCCTAACCTATACACAGACAATCAATGTAGTATAATTATTATCAATATAATCTGACTAGAACAGACAAATGTAATGTATTTAATGTAATATTTCTATATAAAATGAATTGATAGGAGATTAATAAAAAACGCCCAAAAACTTTTCTGCCCATGTTATCTAATGTACCAGCCAATAATCAACGTCTTATGGGCAAATTATTTTATCGAATGGTATATTTTCCCAGGGATATTAAGTTCCTGTCAAGAGCTTTAGGCAATCACAGATTTGGACATATGTATAAACAAGATGGATTCTCAGACTTAATATGAGATTTTGACATGAGAAATTGTCGGCGTTAGATTTATCAGTAGATTGTAATCAGTCATTATGGTCATGATAAAATTTCTAATTAAGTTTTGCGTCCAGCCGCACAGGATGTTTACAAATGTACAATAATTTTCCCATGTCAATAAGGGATTATGTACAATATTAATTTTAATTTCATAAAGAAGACACAATCCACAGTACGTACTTGTGCATTCTGTGCTAATTAATACAGGCCAGACATCAGATCCGAATAGTTCTAGTATTGAATCGGACTATCAAATCAATTTTGAGTGATGTCTTGTGCTACAAGCGAAGATTATCCATGAGAAACAAGTATTGAGCACAGGTATGTCGTAGGTGGGTATAAGGGTCCAAATTACCCGATTTTTTTAAATTACTTTTTACGTTATACCTGAAAGCAATTTCTGAAATTTAGTGTGGCATGAGTACATTCAAGTAGTAGGTGTTTTTTTGAAAGAATATATTAGAACAATAGGAGAATATTTTGAAGATTTAGACCCCCAGAAAGCCCTAAAATGCAACTAAAATTTGGCATTCTTTCCTTGCTTTCCCTTGTAACGTCCACGTTGCCAGTCAATGCTGTTATAATTTGCCTGAAAATCAGTTTAAATTACCCATAGATATTTACCTGAAATTATATTCACGAACAACTCCCTACACTCCCCGCCCTATGGCAACGTGTATGTAAACTGGTAATCAACTGTTGCAACTTTGATTTCGACTGTTGCAAATGGAATTTGTGAGAAATTAAATGCAATTTAATTGCAACAGCAATTTTGCTGTTGGGGATCTGATTTGATAAATTAGTGGAGTCCGGTAACAAGGTCCCCTGTCATTTACGACCTTCATCATTAGTTAAAATCATGTCGAAAACGTGTTCCTATTTACAGAAGGATATATATATATATATATATATATATATATATATATATATATATATATATATATATATATATATATATATATTATATATATATATATATATATATTATATATTATATATTATATATTATATATTATATATATATATATATATATATATATATATATATATATATATATATATATATATATATATATATATATATATATATATATTATATGCATCAGCATAGAGAAATATAAAGGCGTGTCACTTGGTGTATTCTTTATTACATTTCCTTTCAATTTTCAGTAAATCTTAGTGGAAATACTAACACTTTCTACCGTTATAAAAATGTCTTAAACACTGGCAAATTAATTTCGCCCACTTTCAATCCATTGGGCTGCGTTATTTACCTTGACGTACCATGAAACTTTTTTCAAACTTTCAGCAAAAATTCAACTCTAAACTACTATTACTTCGTATTCCTTGGCCTTGCACAGATTTCACCACCAAATGTTTGAATTGATACGTTGTAAAATTTGAGAATACTCTGCTAATAGACCATACACTGACATCCAAAAAGACCCAAACTCATATGTGAGATATAGCGTGACCATCTTATACTTTTACTCTTGTTGGATCGAAGCGATGGCATGCAAATAAAATGCTCAATACGACCACAAAATGGTAAACACTCAAACTACTACAAACTTAATTTGATAATTATGATATGATGACCTAGCAAAAATGTAAGGCACTTAATTCTTAAAAAAGAGAAAAGTGTCTAAGAATTCACACTCACACTTAACTTAAGATTGATGACTAAATATCACAAATATTATAGATTTGGTTTATAAATATAAATTCCATTTAACAATCCTTAAATAGAGCTGTCTTGGTCGAACGCTTTCCCTATGTCATATCTATGTGAAATAATTAGCTAAATCATTAACTCACTATTTTAATCGTTTTATGAAGAAAACGTGTATTTCACGGCATCTATATGAAATTTAGATTACCTGGCTTTTCGTCCAATTTCTTCCGCTGATAAAAGCTGGCTAATAAGAACCAAACTAGTCTTTAATACTACAAACTTTCAATTTCTGACATATTAAGTCATAGGTCAATATTATTCAAGATCTAGAATAATATACCGGCCAAAATTGCAACTTAATGGTGCGTATTATATGTGGGCGGCGATGGCTTGAAGCCATATGGAGACCTTATGAGCACATCGCTGTGGTGAAACACATCTAGTTATATGGGGTTAAAAGATGTTGACTTTGTAAGGTGCATTCGTCATATATAACTATGACAGAATATGGATCACATTCCGCTCTATACTGAATCCGATGGAGAAAATTTCGTGGACACATAGCTGCGAACTATAAGTATTGCTACCATATTCATGTACACATATTGGTATCTTTGTACCAATGTTGGTTGTGTCATTGTATGTCGGCAAAGCTTTCACCAATTTACTATATAATTTACACCACGAGCGGCATGTGTTGTATATCCAATACAACACGGACGCGAAACGTCTTGATGAGAAAATTCGTATTCTTCAACAATTTAATAAATGAATGATATTTGAGAAATTGAAATTATAAATGCAAAATCAGCATGATTTAGTACTCAGATAAACAAATGCCTTCACGCTCATGATTTCTTTTGTGTTTTCTTCATGATTTCTTTTGTGGTTCCACAAGCTTTCCACATTGAACGGGGGGAGGGGGATGCACGTTGAAAATTACTGTTTTGCAAGGATATGATTGGACAAGACAGGTATTTCCGTTCTATACGTACATAATAAATTTTGCCAGGATTGTAGTTTCTTTTGTTTGCAACAATTTATCGCTGGTATCAATGACGGAGAACCTCGTGTACTGGCATGTGAACTGTATCTTTCTTGCGCTTTGCGTGTTCTATGCAAAATTGCAAATCACTCATTTCCAATGGTAAAGTCACTAAAGATGTATCGACAATGAATCACACCTTGATATACTCGACACGACTACTGTGTCGCGAAGCTGTCAAGCACTGAATTGAAAAATATGTTGTTGATAAATTATCTTTACTCTGCCTGTGTGTGGTCAGTTAATATCTACGTTATGATGATGACTTTATTTCGTAAGAGTAAACAATTAGTACTATGAAACGACAGGACACCGTAGGAAATTTAATTAATTACAACTGAGATTCTTCGCTAACAAGTTAACAATTGAAAGCTTGTTCCTGTGAAAATTGAAAATTTGACACAAGTTTAAATTTGACACATGTTCAAATTCCACAGTTTTCTGTCAGAGTTCGATAGAAATTGTACTTATAATATTGTTATGCTCGTACCTAATGTGATGGAAATTCTATATAATAGCTTTTTCGTAACTACAATTTTGTTATCATTACAAGAATTTAAAGTATAAAATTTAAAACCCTTGAGGCAAGCATGATTAAAATAGAACGACGGGCCTTTTTCAAGAAAAAGAAGCTATTTGCAATCAGACAGACAGTAATCCCTCTCTATGATTGTAAGCTCAAAACGATCAGTGGTATTCGGTAGGATTAATGCCGCCCATGACGCGCAGACGTTCGTCGTCGAGCTATACCTTTAAGCCAGGTGCTTAGCGTAAATCAGGTTATAAGGATTTTACGTAGAACTTACAAGACTATCAAAACATTTTCATGGCAATTTAAAATCACTCAAGAACTAGAACAGGTAGGTACGTGCCATATTTGCGCGCTCCTACACTTGATATCAACGTTTTCTCGTCCGATGTCATATTGCCATTGAAATTGGACACTTTTTTTACAATATACATCGCAAAAACAAACATTTGTTTAGAAATAACAAATTGTTAGTGCGTCTTGTACTATCGTCTTGATAGAAAAACCTCACATATACCGATTGTAAAAATTTCCATGAAATTGAAATGTCCAGCTTGAGAATGTTTAACGATGCACAGTGTGTCATATGGAGCTAAGAAAGCGCATTTTCCCATCCGGAAGCATTGGATTTGGATTATTGAAAACAAATATATAGTCATATCGTCATAGGCGTACGGGCGTGAAAAAATTGCCTGATCTTGAAGGAAATTGCCCAACACTATCATGGGTTTTATGATAAACGACGGAATGGAAGGTGAGTAAAAGGAACACATACATCTCTATTTAGTAGTATACAGACGCGCAGAAATAAATTCAATCTTAAAACGATAAATAAAAAATCTAGAAGTATTTACGAGTATTTCTTGGATTTCATTCTCTGAGATACATCGGAATCTCCTCACTCTTCTGCATGCATGTTGAAGTTAATGAAACAAATTTGACCAAACATGAATATTTACATCTCAACATTGATATGATGATACAATACATTATACGGAGGCGAACAGGCCTAGCAAATTGCCCGACTTTTTAAGTAGAATCTGCCTGATTTACTGACACTGATAGGGGGCCGTCTCGCACCTCTTGTGATTATCGTTTGGCAACGCACGGTAGCCTCGGCATGAGAGTCCATTTTGCCAATGTTTTGAATGCAGTTATAAACCGGTAATTTTGTGGATACAAACTTGGCATACATGTGCACAACTGGGTTAAAGTCTTCTAAACGTGCATGCAGTACACGTGAAACATTGGACTCAATTGGAGACAATGTCATCCATCACCACAAGCAAATAAATCTATTGTACACAATGTCCTCCGGTGGGGTGCTGGCGGCATGGTTGTTCGTGCAAGCTTGTCTTTCATATATTCATGACCGCATGATTAGTGTTGTTTACCAGTTCTGATAAAAATTTCAGCTGCATGCGAGACAAGTATTTCCAGTTTAATAGACACTGCCAAACACCATAAATCTTCTCTGGTTTCATCATGATAGCACTTTCTGGACTTCCGGCAAGAACAATTTAGGCCAGATGCTAATACAACTATCCGGTAGGCAGCATAAACAAAGTTAGTTTAATTTGCAATTTGCAACAAATTCAAAATTTCAACTTCTGAACATAGAAACCGAAGACAAATGATAATGAAGTACGAATCATGTCTAAAAACTGTGGATGTATACGTGACCACAAATCCTACAAGGTTTTGTGTGGGTCACAGCATGTCTCAAGGTCCTCAAGTTATAATCAAAATATCATTATTGATAATAATCATTAGTTGTCCACTTAGTTTCTTAGACTAAGCTACTTCATGATCATTTGATTACAGTATATTCAGTATATTTCGTATAAGTTTTCTATGACTATGTTATTCTACTTCATGATCATTTGATTACAGTATATTCCATATATTTCGTATAAGCAGGCATTAAAATACTGAATTTTTACAAGGACACACTTTGCCTTCAGAGGCGTATTTTTGGTATAAATGCGCAGACTCACGAGAACGACTGAACGAGTGGCGAAACCACAAGTTTAGCGTCGAAGACGCAAGCTTTTAAGCGGGTCTCTGAAATGGCATTTCCAGAGTTCTGAGACTGAGAACAGAATTTGCAAAATCTTTGGCCATTTTGCGTGGATTACATTAATATATTTTCAGTTTAATATATTTTCAAGTACACACTTTTCAATTTACAAGGGCACATTCGCCTTTTACAAGGACACAAAGTGTGTACAAGGACACGCTATTTTAATGCCTGCGTATAAGTTTCCTATGACTATATATGTTGTTATTCTACTTCATGACATTTGATTACAGTATATTCCATATATTTCGTATAAATTTCCTATGACTATGTTATTCGTTCATGATTTGCAGCAGTGAAAATAATACTACTACTGTACTAGAGAGTAGAGTCACATTTATACCGACAACGTTTTTGTATAGTACTACAGTAATAGTAGGAAACGTATTATAGTAATTGCCATGCATATGAATGCCCATGGTCCTCGCAATATTACAATATTTACAAACATAAAAGGTGAAATTACTATTATTTACATATGAAAACAAAATTAATTAATGCACTTACAATTTAGTAAATATTTACAATTGTTACAAAACATGCAGGTCTTCAAAATGGTGGAGTGGTAAAGTTTTAGCTGATTCAGAAATTATATGTACAGTTTTAGTAGTAAGTAGTTAAATCGGTTGTATATGCATGTATAAGGTCTAAAAAATAAGCGCTCCGTGGATGCGAAACATTTCATTATTTTCACAAAAAATAACCCATACACGCGTTTAGACAAGAGTTAGATGTCAGGTCCGGTTGTACGAACGCCGGATGGCGTTATCCACACCGGTAATGATTTTTCAAGCTTTAAAAGTTGGTCGTTCACTGGTATAACCCAATTAAACTTTAGTATATTAAACTTCAAGTTGCCTTTTATTAATTATGGGATCCATATCTGTATTTTTATCACTTGTCTAGCATTTTTAGGGACGGTTGAAGAAATCACTATCCGATGGATATAGCGTGATCCGCGGCCTTCGTACAATTAACTGACCTCTGTCCCTGATAAAAGTGCGTAAACAAATAGATTGTTACCCGCAATGGTGGATTCCCGTGGTTTGGTCAAAACCGCCTCTTCCCCACCCACGTTCTAGATGGAACATGCGTACGTCAATACCGGTATATCATTGGTAAAGAAAAGGCTGATGTCCTGGTTATTTTTGTAGCCTGAAATTCTTATACTCGGAGAACGGTTAAGCGTAGTAAATTAGCGCTATATAGTGAACTGCCTCGTTCTTTACTAAAGTCTTTGTCCTGGCTTGGAAAGTTCAATGCATCAATGACAGTGTCGGGGATAAGAACGACGCAGTTCAATAATTAGGGCTCGTGTACTTCAATTCATCTGATGAGCTTATACATCCTATCTTTGCTTGCACAATCACAAACGCGTTAAAAAATCATTAACACACTTCGACCTTTTTTTGCTTCGGACCGTCCCAAGCCTGTCACAACATCATGTTAGTAAAATAACACTGTTTATACTTGCTTTTCATCGTTAAACACGTTTAAAACGCATCGCGCACAAACGCAACGATAGGTCCGATTTGCTTGCCAAGATTATTATTGTATACGAGGATTATATTTCATGGTCTAAGCCTAAGGTTATTTCAACAAATACCAAACAAATACACAGTGCGTTTAAAGATCTATTCAAGCCAAGGTATAGTATACTGGAATATAACACATGCGCTTGATGCGCGATTTCGGGGACAATGGCGTGTTTACATTCTCCCGAGTGCCGAAGTAACATAATTATGCTTGTTGCAGTGGGTGTTATTAGAGTAGCTGTCTGTATCCGTATGTATATATCTAGAATATGCGAATGGCATACCTTCAGATTTTGTACAGTCCACAGGGAACTACGTTGATTCACGTGGTATAAAGACTTCGTTGGGAATGTCCAATAGAAACATTATCATATACGACAGTACAACTGCGTTGTGGATATGAGCGCCAAAAACCTGATCGATAAAAATTGTCTTTAGTATAACACACTGATACATGATCGTGGGAAGGTCCGGGCATGTTCAAACATGTCAAAGCCTGTCCAAATTCATTAAATCCTCGATGCCATAATCGCCCAAGGGGTATAAAATAACATAAGACACCGCAAGTACCTTACTAAACATAAGATCTTCCATTTTCTGTTCCTTACATCGGTGGAACCGGTTGAAACCAGCAGGAATTCGCCGTCTCTCGGTTGCAAAACACCTGGAAATGTTCAAACTAAACATACGCGGAAAAACAATGCTTATCATTAGCGGCATGTGAGATTAAATACTCACGAAAAGCTAATAAAAATATCGCTTTACATAAACAAGTAACGATTCTTTAATCATCCAAACAAAGTTTAAAATTACGTTGACATAGTAATTTAGCACCCGTAATTAAAATCATTACTATAGTGTAATAATTTATTAAATGTTGCCTTGTAGAACGCTGGTGACAACTAACTACTTCAATCTTCATATTTATAAATAAGATTTGTCGGACCGCAGCTAATACGGCCAAGTCACAGTGCATAAACTTGTAATGCGCAAAGCAAATGATAAGACTCCAGAGTTTATATAGTTGTTTTGTCTGAGGAACATGCACTTTTATAATTTTATATATCACAGGTGATCGCAAAATGCGTAATTAAGCAATAATTCAAGATGTGTATATCATATTTCCATAACCACTACTGACTACTGTGCAGTTTATAAAAACCTAACGATAGAATGTAAACATTTTGCGCATCCATTCTACATAATTTCCGTCTATATTTACAGCAAGTTTTCCAAAAATAAATCGTACCGGAAATTCGGAAAATAAACAAATGTGGCCATACCATTTTTTAAAGCAATTTTAGCATTTTTTAAATTCCTGTGCGGCGCGCACCTTATAAAATTGCCGAGCGCAATAAAGAGAAGGTAAATCTAAAAGTTGGCGCGAGGTAATATTTTTACTTGATGCATATAATCTCTCATTAAAAATATAACAAAGAAAATTATATATAGTCAATAGTGACAAACATCCAGCACTTCTTTATGGGCGATTTTGCAAAACCTTTGCCAAAATGTTTCGAAATTTGTTCCGAAGTTCCAAAGTTCATTTAATAGTGAGCTTAAACTGGGTAAGGTCCGATCTGCGCATGCGCACATAGGACGCCTATGTGCGCATGCCGTGCTATAAACACTTTAATTAGGTTTTTATTTTATTTTATGTTCTTGCAAAGCCTGAAATATTGTTGTATCTTGATAATTTATTGTATTGTAGAAGCATGAAAGTATAAATAGTTGTCGAATAAAGTTCAATATTTTGAATACCGAAATGTAAACAAAGGCTTTATTTACATACGGACTGTACCCTACCTTTCCGTCGACCCGCGAATTTTAGGGCGGGCCAAACGTAGGTCTGTTTTCAGGCTAGTTTTTGTCAACACGGACGGGTCTTGAAAATTGGTACAACGAATTTTGGCCGTATTTTGAATCAGCGCTCGTCTAAGGAAGCAAAAAACTTTAAAATTCTTATGTTTTGTCATACGTGTTGAAATTACCACAAACTGGCATAAACAGAGTCTTTAATCCAATCTCCGTTTGGCAAAACGTCACTTGCTTAGCTCCACTGATAAGAGGGTCTTAATGGGGGTCTTTGGGTGTCAGTTGTCAGCTAAAATTTAAGCCAGTTGTCAGTTGTCAGTGTGATATATTGCAAGGTGTCAGTAGTCAGTTACTGCAAAATGCTAACTCATCATTTTTTCATCATTTCTCAGTTGTCAGTTAGGATATTTTGTCAGTTGTCAGTAAAAAATTCAGGCAAATGTCAGTAGTCAGTTAACCCCATTCAGACCCTCTGATAATCTTCACAAACCGGTTTGTAAGCATTCGATTGGCTTCTTTTAAATCATGAGACCAATAATCAGATTATGAGAGACTTTGTTTACAAACCGGCTTGTGAATTTTAATATGAATCTAAGAATCTTTGTTCATGCAGGAACGAACTGTTCGAACATGTTAACAAAGCTTTTGTGAAATCGACTGTAAAATTGTGCTATTCAGGAAAAACTATGAAAAAGGGATGGAAACAGTAAAATGAAGATGGACAAGTTGGACGAGCGAGCTTCATTGATCAGCGACAGAAAAAATTGTTGATGTTGAGGAAGACTAATTATGCAGGAGAGATAACAAAAGCAATAAGGTATTAAGAAAGAAGAGAGGGAGTTCTCACAGGATGACGAAATACAGGATAGGAGCAAAATAAAGCGTGATAGAGAAAAGGAAGGATTTAAGATGAAGTGATAATTTTCAGATTTGTCAGGAAGCAAATGTTGTTTCCAAAGAAAGTACTTGTGCAGACAACATGATTAGAAACTTTACGCTGCAGAAAATTGCACAAGCAGTTTGATAACGGGATGGTATTCTTTTTGGTAACATTTGAATTTTTAATGGTTGGATCAACAATGTTTACCAACAAAAAGATTTCTTATCGGTGTCAGCCCCCCCCGCCATAAATTATGACCGATTGACCAGTCAAAAAGAAGGTGGAGGATAAAAATCAAAATGAAGTTATGAATATGATGAAAGATGAAATAGGTTCAAGACAAAGACATGGATGATAATGGAAGTGCAGAGATTAAGGAAAGCCATTCGTGAAGCAGCGGGAAAAATGAAAGGAAATAAAAAATGTAGGAAGAAAAGAAATACAAGTGAATGTAAAAAGGAAAAGACTAAGGATACAAAATAACGATAATTGTATTAGCTTGAAAACAGTACTTACTTAAACCAAATCATATAAAAATAATCTCCCAAAATTTATTCAAAATTATTCACCATAATTAAATATTCGTTTACAGTGTTGTATTTCTAGTATACAGTACACGTTGATTATCATTGCCTTAAAAATACGTAATGTATTCAAATTTAGTAAACTTTCACATTGAAAAAATGTAACATATTGTTTTCTACTATTAAACGCTACAATTAATTCAATTTAAATATTCACATTAGAAAAAATGTAATAAATGTTACAAATTACAAAATACGTAATGTATTCAACTTTAGTAAACTTCCATATTGGAAAAACGTATTATATGTTTTACAAAGATCAAAATATTAATTTTTATAAAAAATAATTGCCTCAATTTTAGTGTTCAAAAATAGTCCTTACTCTTAATATACGTGATGTCATTTACATTGATTTTACTTGCATTAAAAATAATTACACAAAACTACGTCTTATAAAAAGTGTTATAAACTCATACAAAAAATTATCAAAGTTGCGCGTACAGACGAGCAAATAAAACTTGTTACATAAAAACTTGTCATATAGAAAACTTGCTCGTCTGTAACAGGCCTTAGTATATATGTGATGTCATTTACATTGATCTTACTTGCATTACAAATAATGGCACAAAACTACGTCTTATAAAAAGTGTTATAAAAAGTTGTAAATGAAAAAGGAGAACGCAAAATGCGCTATACATATCACATCTCATTTTTTAACAAAAACGTGCAAAAGCCCCAGAGCGTAATCTCAGTTTGCACTTATTAATGCATGTTGTTATTGTTATGTGAACTATCTCGCAGAGAAATGACCACTAGCGTGAGGCGGTTTCTACAAAAAAAAAACGAAAAACGACCAAAAAACCACGAAAACACAGAGTGAATCGGTTTTTTAAAAAATATGTTCGAAAATCGAAATTACGGTAAAAAAGACACAACACGCTACTCAGTACTAACGCAAGATATTATTCATAATATATTTTGAAGACGTTATCAAATTTCAAACAAAATCTCTTTAGTTTTTCGTGTGTAAATGCCAAAACTTGATTCATTTGCAACAAACTCGTGTAAGTATATGGTTCGATTTTAGTAAAATACCGATTTTTCTTCGTCTTTTTTCCGTTTCCCCCGTTTTTTTTTTTAATTTGATTTTTTCGGTTTTTCTCCAAAAGTAACATCGAGCATTTCGGTTTTCAAAAAACATCGTTTTTTTTTCGGTTTACCGAAAAACCGCCTCACCCTAATGAAAACATGGCCTATTCTCAAGTGAATCTGCGCGGGTTGCGCCAACAGACTCGTAATAAATTGTTCCAACAAATCTAGTGATAAAAAGTTGATGACAACAAGCATTTACAAACCCGTAGAAACTTGCTACGAACAGCCTGTCAATATTAGTCTTGTTGGAACAACTTGTAACACGTCTAATTACCGTCATCAAGCTTGTAACAAGGTGATAACAACTTGTTCCGCAATTAGCCATTCCGAAGTTGATGAGTGGACTGGGGACGAGTGTTAAAAAGTGCCCAAATTAAGAAAGGAACCAAATCACTATAAAGACCTCCTCAAAATTAGTAAGTATACAAAGTTTGAAGACGTTTACATGGATATCCTTCGAATAATAAACAATCTTTTAATCAGTAATTTCACAATTTTGGAAAGCTTATTATTCAAAGGATATTCGTGTAAACGTCTTCAAACTCTGCATACTTACTAATTTTGAGGTGATCTTTTTAGTGAGTTGGTTCATTTCTTAATTTGGGCACTTTTTAACACTCGTCCCCAATCCTCTCATCAACTTCGGAATGGCTAATGGCGCAATGCCATCACATCCTGATATCGTCTTGACAACAACCTTATTTGTTACAACCTATTTGCAGACCTGTAACAACTTGTGCATTTTTACGTGTATAGCGGCTTTGGACATGCAAAGAATCGTCATTCGGTTTCTCTTATAATTTTATCGCATACGATAAAGCACTATTTTAAACTACGCACACTGACACTGTACGTATTTTTCTGGGTCGGTTGTACAAAAAAGTGATTCAAGTTAATCATAGTTAAGTGGACTGAATGTCATCCAATAAGAAGCGCGTATTTGAGAGCTAATCACTATTTAACTACAAAATAGTGATTAAAAAAGTGATTAAGAGTTTTATACAACCGGCCCCTGGTTAGCGCAGTATTTCAAAACTCAAAACTACTGTATCTTACTTACCACGAAGTATACTCAAATTTTCAATTAAAATTAAAGTTTCAGTTAAAGGTATTAGTGAGCTTAAGAAAGAGACGTTCTTCTTAACAAATTTGGTAGGACTATTAATTTTGGCGGCATTTTGCATAATAACGCTCGTCTTAAGACCCATACAGACCGGACGCGATTTGGCAGCGCGACGCGAATTTTCAATGACATTTAACTTCAATATTTTTCTATGTTTTTCAAATCAATTCTGAACCACTTGAGCAATTTTAGCTATTTGGTCTGCATATCTTGTAAAATTTTTATCCGTTGACGGTTTTATTTGTTTTTAAAAACTGAAAATTCGCGTCGGTCTGTATGGACCTTTAAGAAAGCAAAAAACTTTAAAAATCTTAGGTTTTGTCCTATGCCGTGTTGAAGATTACCACAAACTGACAAAATCGACAGTTTTTAATCCAGTCCCCCTCGACGAACTGACGTCCGTATTGACAAAAACGTCGAAATCTTAAGCTCGCTAATATTGCCTTTCTCATGATGACGAATATCCGCCATTTTTGGGTGGCATCTAATTCTCGTTCAAACAATACACCCTTTCGATAATTACGTCACAATTACACTGTTTTCAACTTAGGACCACCTTAAATGGAAAGGATTTTAAGTTTTTTTCTCATGGGCTATGCACAGAGAAGCAGAACATCCTTCAACACATGCGAAAAAAAATTTGGATTTTGATCAAGCATTAACACGAAAACGATCAAAATAAAGAATTCTTTTTCATGCATGTGTTGAAGAAGGATGTCAGTCTGTGCATAGCCCACGAGAAAAACTTAAAATCCTTTCCATTTGAGTTGAAAACAGTGTAGTTGTGACGTAATTATCGAAAGGGTGTATTAAAACAATGTGAAGAGCAAGTTTTCAAAATAAACTAACCATTTACAAAGCAAATTTGCAATCATTCGTCCAAAAAATTATAAAAAAGTCGCTGTAATTATGTGGACTTATTTCGCAGACTTCGGCTGAAAAGCCACCCAAAAATGGCGGCGTGAGAAACGCTAATTCAACTCAGTCGGGTCCTACTAATTACTGCCCGAGACTGCCCGGGAAATTTGGTGCACGCGTTAAGGTCCAGACACACCGGACGCGATTCGACAACGCGACGCGATTTTTTAGTAGACCAAATAACTCAAATGTTATAACGCTTCTAAATATTTGGAAAATTTAAACTATAGGATCAAAATTAGCGGTCAGTGAAAATCGAAAAATCGCGTCGCGTTGTCGAATCGCGTCTGGATCTTAAGCCAACGCGAGATCTTCAAAATCTGGATTTTCTCCCATTTTCTTATAGTTCAAACGCGATTTCTTTGCATGATTAGTCAAATTAATTTTATGCATGCTCGGATGTTTGCAAGGCCCTTTTTTAGTAACAGCTTTCCTGCTCTAAAAACGCTACCAGAGAACGTTAAAATACATAGCCATAGGCTGAAGCCGGTTGTCCATTAGGTGGAATTCCACCGAATGTGGAACTAATGTTTCTCAGGTGGAACTAATTAGAAAAGACAGAGAGAAATTCCGCTCCGCGCGGAAAATTCCGCCTAGTGGAAAACCGGCTTCAGCTATGGCTAAGTTTTCGCAAATTTCGCGCGCATCCGACTTTAGTGAACTTTTTTCAACAGGCAATTCCAGCTTTTAGTTTACGCGTGCAGGTAATGATGGGAAGTAAGGTATCATATTGCTGATTATGCTGAGAAAATAAAAATGGTGACCTTGTAAACACGGAGTGATAGCTTATACTTGTAAATATTGAAATATTTCGGTTGTTTCGGTAGTTTTTATTGAAATTTTTCAGCATAATCAGCAATAAGATACCTTACTTCCCATCATCCCCTGCACGCATAAACTAAAAGCTGGAATTACCTACTGTGTACTTTTTTTCTGATACACGCTGTATAGTTCGCTTGGTCGAATCCGATAATTTCTCCTCTATTCGTTATGAAAGTAAAATGGAATATTTAACTATTTCCCATTGTTTAACTGCCCCACACTCAAGTAATCACAAAGACGCAACATTCGCGAGTCAAAAACGAGGTTCGCGCAACGCAAGCAACGTAGCATACCAAATGTTTTGAAAACAATTTTTATACATGTACTCGACGAGGCGACAGCCGAGTTGAAAGGAACAATCCATCTTTCACCGATGGAACATACCATCTTTCACCTTTCATTATTTGTTTTATATAATACCAAAATAGACTAATAGATTTGTATGAGAAGCATTTTGACGGATGCGATTTATCGAAAACACAAAGCCAGAGTGCAATGGAATAAAACGTATAGTACAATTGCACTCGCAAATAGTGCAATGCCAATGGAACGTATTCCATTGCACACTTGGGAAATGGAATTTTCTATTCAATATCATGTGACCATAAACAGCCAATTAAACGATCAGAATTCAATAAGGTATTATATAAAAACGTTATATTTATCCGGACAGTCTTGGGCAGTTCTAGGGCAGTCACGACTCCCGGGCAGTAATTAGTAGGACCGACTCAGTCTCACAGTGCAATCACCTTACCGAAATATACGTGATTGCACTTTCATTATCCTTTCGTAAATTAAGGATAAAATTCACCAACGTTCCACACGCGTCATCCCGTTTGATATTTTTCAATCCTCTCCAAAGCATGTTAACAGTTGTGTTTCGCGTGCCCAGGTATAATAAGAGTTCTTGTGTGTGATCAGCATCACACACACTCCGATTTGCAATGTCGCTCAAAGTGAGTCGAAATTCGTAACCCAACTGTACCCAATTATTACGTACATTAGGGTTCAGTAATTGGCCCAATAAGTCAACGTAACCGCCCGGAAGATCACGTATTAGTTTCTCGCGTTCTGTCAAAAGAAAAAGAGTATTTTATGATAGTGCAACACCACAAAGACAAGACGTTACATCGTAGACAATTATACAAATGTCAAAAGAGAGTATCTATAATTCCATGCCATTTCAACACAGGCATGACACCCACCCTCTTCAAATTTCTTTATATTTCGCAGGGAGTTAACATTGTGTGGGAATAGTTGATAATTGTACTTTCAGTGAACTCTTGAAAATAATTGGTGCTACCATAAACATTTTCCCAATAAAAATGATGTATATTTCGTGTCCTCACTCAGAAACACATAATTAGACTTTTTTCTGTGCCATAACACATTACTGGTTGCAGATATTGCAAGATGAAAGTGCAATATTTGAAATCTCCACATAAAAATACATCCTTATGCAAATTTTGATGGATATACCATGTACGGGTATGAAGTTACAAGTCAGAATGTAAAATGCAGTAGTGGTGAATTTAGCACTGGCCACGCCCACTTTTTTGCTTTTCGGGCCATATTTCGAATTGCGATATCTCAAAACCTATTGCAGCTATGATGCTCAAATTTTGAACTTAAACTATTCCCACACAATATGTTAACTGCCTGCGAAATATAAAGAAATTTGAAGAGGTTGGGTGTCAAATCAGTTTTTTGTGTTGAAATGGCATGGAATTACTCAAGAACTAGATTGAGTTCTGCCACATAACCTACTCGAACTTGACCTCGTAGCTCAGTTGGTCACTGGACTAGCAAACCAAAGGTTGCAGGTTCGATTTCACTGCAGTCAAACAATTTTTCAGCTCGTGAAGATACTCACAGTTCATCAGCAAAAATTAACCCATTAGATTTCACTCGTCAAATGGAGGACACTGATGCTCAATGACAATGGATTAATCAGGCTACTGACTATCTGGCCAGGCCGTGGTATCAAGTGACGAAGTAAATGTACTTCGTTACTGTAGTTGAGTACTATTTTTGAGAAGTTAGCATGTAACAAAGTAAACTTTTTCTGGAGTAATTTTACTTGGAACGAAGTCGTTTTAAGAAGCAACATTTCACTTCGTTATTTTCATTTTGTGGCGAAGTATTTCGTTACTTTCTAAATTTTGTTTAACTTTACGTGATTTATTCCAGATTTATTTCAATTTTGGGATAGGTAATAGGACCTCGATATACATGTGTCTGGGGTCTCAAAGTAGACCATGCCGTGAAATATTGTAATATTAGGTGCACGCATGTAATGTGTGTGCTGTTTTGTGTCTTTTGTATGTCAATCCATTGCAGAACTCCCCACCCCCTACACGCTACGGACAATAGTACTTTTACTTTTTACTTCAAGTATTTTTGAGGATACTTTGTACTTTTTACTTAAGTACAGTATGTTTTGCCTCCAGTACTTTTTACTCTTACTCAAGTCGTTTTATTGTTAATTACTTCTACTTTTACTCGAGTACAAATTCAAAGTAATTTAGGCACCACTGTATCTGGCCATATGTCTAGTTAACCATTTGCATTATATCTAACATACTACTGTGCCTACTGAAAGACAACTTCATTCCATTTACCTTGGTCTGTCAACACTGTAATATCTGGGCATTTGGACTCTAAGAAAAAAGACTTATTTTTAGCAACCTACTGTATGCTAATTCTTTAAGTTCTGTTAAAGTATTGAGATAACTACGAATTCAAATTATTGAATAAGTGAATACATACTAATTGGGAGCAAAAGACTTGAAGAACTTGTTGCCAAGCTTGAAGCATCTGTATGTGTACGTGTATACAGCCTTCGCCTGTATTTGCAGCATACCAAACACACAAGTATGACAATAAGTATAATTACAAACTCCACAATAGATACATAATACCAGATTGGATTACATTCCCAGTCTTTTCCAGTCCCTAAAATGAGGACACATTATAAAACTTATAAATACAATCTTCATTCTTACCATCATAACCATTTTGAGTGGCAATTGGCACCCTAATAATAAATACACACTATTTTGTTTTTCACTCAGTTTAGGGACCGGTCATTATTTATGGAAGGGGGGAGGGAAAAAATAAGGGGGGCCATATGTATAAATAAATGACTAGAAGGGGGGCTATTAATTTTTTCACGAAAATGAGGGGGGGGGTGGCAATTAGATTTGAAGGAATTTGCTTAATAAGCATGGTATCCATTTGGTTGTAATTGTGACTAAATCATGGTTACTGATGTGAAATAGTCTGAATTTATCTTCTGTGTGCTGTATGCAAATCAGTCTTTACTGATTGCAGAGATAAATTGACAATGTATTATTACATCAGTGATCTTGATGTGGTTTGTATTATTACATCAGTGATCTTGATACATTTAAGCAAGGTTAACCCATTAAGCACCAGCGCTCTCCCCTTGACGAGTAAAATCGTCTGGTGTTAGACAGAGTAAAAACGGCTGGCGTTAGACAGAGTAAAATACTAAAGTGGGGTGCATCAGACTGCATTATGCGACTCAATGGGTTAACTAGACGCATGGGCAGATAGGCCAGTTAACCCATTAAGCGCCAGCGCTCTCCCCTTGACGAGTAAAATCGTCTGGCGTTAGACAGAGTAAAATACTCTGGCATTAGACAGAGTAAAATACTAAAGTGGGGTGCATCAGGGTGCAATGCGACTCAATGGGTTAACAGCGAATGTATTATGCAAGCCACATCCGCTGAGGGGAGTCTGTGACGTCATATCAATCAAAGGGGGGTGTATAGACCAATATACATTGTATTTCGTTTCCAAAAGGTGACTTGTGCCGGAGGTATGCCTTGGCAGAATGTCCAGAATTGTCATGGCTATCTCCTTTTGCTGCTAATATTACTGATTGTTACTGTTGTTGCTGCACAGCTGCTATGGCAATACTTCGTGCCATCAAATCTAGTTACAGCCTAATGGACCACAAACGGCACCTGGCTCCAAACACTAATATTAATTCTCTGCCGTTAAACATGGTTTCAATCGCACAGACCAAATGGAATTTTAGAGTTATATATGAAAATACCCCTCTTTTAATTATAATTTTCTGCTAATATATATTTTTGGTCGATATTAATATCTTGTCAGTTCCATATTCTTATTTAATGATGTAATACTACATTTGTAGGTTTTATATATACGTATAATCATGAAAAAATTGTGTGTTTTGTTTACTTTATAATCTTCGGAATTCTGAATAATCTTACCCTGAAAATGCAGGAAATCGCATTTCAGGACTCTAGATTTCAAAAAATTTCCGGATGTCTCGCGCCTTCACCGCTCAAAAATCCCCTCCACTTTTAAAAGGCTGGCGCCGCCACTGGTAGAGCGCACTCAGGGGCGCATTGCGGCTCAATAAACTAGAGACATTGTCAGTTTTTTGGTTAATAATAACCCATAATGCTGCAGAGCTTCCCCACTGATGAGAAAAATCGTAAAGTAAAAAAAATAAGTAGGGCGCACTGCGATTCAATGGGTCAATTGACAAATTACTGGTATTGGCATTAGAGCGACATTAATGAATCAATTAAGTACGGCAGAATTTGGAGCAGCAACAGTTCGACACATTAGTTCAGCAGAACTTATTGTATTATGTGATGTTGGAGCGACATTGATTTATATATGTCACTCATGTTTCTTTTTAACCTACAAAGTCATGCAATATCCCTAAAAGTACTTTGTGATTCCACTCTGTCTAACACGTGGCCATACAATTTTAATTGTCAAAGTGAGTTAGGTTGTGCTGGATTAATCAATGGTTTATTTAACTCTTATAACCCAATTAACCCAAATTTAGAATATACCAACATACCATTGTCTGCTTGGTTTCCATTTGTTAATATGACACTGACTGTCGGTTTTTCCGTGCCTGTGGTAGAAGTGGTAACTTTTGGGGCACAGATAGTATCACGGGTCTTCTCACATGCTTCAAGAACACCATGTTCACATTTTTTGCATTTTCTACAACCACTCGTTGTGTGATAGTAAGTCTAGAAAATTCAGATAAAAACTTTTCACTATTTTTTTAATACTCGCATGATACTGTGACAGCTGGTGATGAGAGAATGAAATTGCTAGGAAGTTGCTGTATGGTTTAAAAAGACTAAACCATTTAGCATTGAAATGGTGGTCAAATATTGCTTAATATTGCTTAACCGATTAAACTGCAGAACTTAACCAATTAAGCTGCAGAGCTTCCCCATTGACTAGTAAAATCATCTGGCGTTAGATAAGTAAAAACAATAAGTAGGGCGCACTGGGGTGCACTGCGGCTCAATTGGTTAATTAAAATTAAGTTGCATTGCACACAATGTCCCCTAGTTTATTATTTTATTCTGTCTAATGCCAGACAATTTTACTCATCAAGGGGAAAGCGCTCCAGCAGGTTACTCAGACTATCTAGCAGCATCAGACCAATCAACCCTATTTTATTACTTTAAGGGGAGAGCATTGCCATTCAATACCAGTGCTCGTGAGTTATGAACATCTTTATAGAACTTATACAGAGTCCACTTTTGTAGAACGAATAATCTTAATTAATTAATATACTAACCTTTTTACATTTGGCACATTCAGTGTTAGAAGAGTGTGTACAGTTTTTCCGGATGACAAAAGGATATTTACACAGCCTACATGTGTTGCATCCACCAAGCGCATGATTTTGATAATATCCTTTAGAACAGATACATCTTGAACAATTGTTTTCTGTGACCAGTACTTGATGATGCTTCAAATTACAATCTGTCACAGTCGCGTTTGGACATAATTGTTGTCCTCCCCAAACCAGATGAATAAAATTGACTGATAATAACTATAGAGAAATAGCAGTTAGCTAGAGAGGTCAATACCGTTAACCAAAACTGTGAAGTTACTGACACAGATAGATATTTTGTTGCCATTTTTTTTAGCTGAGTGCGCATGTTTTGAAGTTCATTTCATGTGACTCAATAATTTGAAAGTCCATGTTATATAACTGGATTTAATATCATGTTCAAGCGATGTATACACTTACCAATGATACAATTCTGCCAATTACACAATAATGAAATAGCGCCATCATACTATATTATACAGATTGAAACAATTGATCGAAATAATTTAAAGTACTCTCAAGTATTTACAAAATTGCTACATTTGATCCGACGCAAAAGTTGCAACTTGATCAGTGAACCACTTGCCACACTGCCAGTCGAAAAAAATGTCCTTCTTTGTTCGGAGTACGGACTTGGTTCGAAGACGACACAAAGAGCGGCTGGAGAAGACCCAAAATTCCATTTTTTCCGGGGGAGGCTGGGACATTGAACTATAAATAAACTTTATTTATAATTATAGTTCAATGGGCTGGGAGTTCAGCATATCCCTTGACCCCTAGAATTCTTAATACTCATAAAATAATATCCTGGCGACGCCACTGCCTCTGTGCAGCTTTGGTAACACCATCGGCTACACAAGCAAAAATCTCACATCTTGTAACACGTTTGTCAAAAAGTTGTGTTCGCATTGCTTGTCACAAGTTGTCAACAAGTTTGGAACAAGCAGTTGACAATTTGTAACAACCTTAAGTTCTTTGTATGTTTGCATGGCGATAAAAATAAAAATAAAAATGTAATGGTTTTGTTTGTGGAAACACCACGTAAATTTATTACTGCAAAGCTTTCGTCCGTAAGCCCGGATCTTCATCAGTGCTAATAATATTGTAACAACCTTGTGGCTTGTTGATATTATCAGGCTTGTTACAAGGTTGTTACCGTTGTTCCAACAAGTCCGATACAGTCATGATTTCGCACTAATAGCAGTATTGTTTATTACAACCTTGTGTCGTCAACCTTGTAACATTCTTGTTTATTATGACTGTATCAGACTTGTTAGAACAACCTTGTGACAAGTCTGATAATATCAACAAGGTTGTTACAAATTGTTAACAGCTTGTTCCAAACTTGTTCCAACAACTGGGAACTAGCAGTGCGAAGACAACTTGTTGACAGCTTGTGAACAGATTTGTAACAACTTGCAGGGGCGCCGTAACTGGAAGGGGCAGGACTAAGGAGGGGCAGCCGCCCCCGTTGCCCTTTACCAGGAGGGCCAAGGGGGGCAAAGGTGCCCTTTCAATTTAAAGGATTGCCTTGGCGAAAAAGCGAATTGTCAGAAATGTTAGTGCAATTCTTTTACGAATTTACTTCAGAAAACGCAAGAAATGCAGTCATCGAGCTTCAAGAATAGCACAATCGCCTGGCGGAGAACCCCCTCACAACCCTATCATCCAATAAATAGAAAACATGATTAGGCGAAGTTCAACTCCCGATGTTTTGCAAACATCTCTTAGTATATATCAATTCAAAAGTGCCCTTTCACGAAAATCTGCCCCCCTTGCCTTCACATCATCCCGGCATCCGTGCTTGTGTCGTCAACCTTGTAACATTCTTGTTTATTATGACTGTATCAGACTTGTTAGAACAACCTTGTGACAAGTCTGATAATATCAACAAGGACAACAAGGTTGTTACAAATTGTTAACAGCTTGTCAGCTTGTTCCAAACTTGTTCCAACAACTGGGAACAAGCAGTGCGAAGACAACTTGTTGACAGCTTGTGAACAGATTTGTAACAACTTTCCTGTATAAAGTGCAGGAAATATTTTGGGAAATACACACGCCGCAAAAATCTCACATCTTGTAGCAAGCCTGCCAACAAGCCGTCAACAAGATGTGAATATTCGCACCGCTTGTCACAAGTTGTCAACAGGTTTGGAACAACTTGTTGACAACTTGTAACAACCTTGTCGAAATTATCAGACTTGTTGCAAGGTTGTTCTGACAAGTCCGTTACATGCTTGATATATAAACAAGATTGTAACAACCTTGTGTTGACAACCTTGTAACACCCTTGTTGTATCATGACTGTGACAAACTTGTTAGCACAGTCTTGTAACAAGGCTGATAATGCATCATGTCTAATCTTGTTTGGGGGGGGGGGGGCCC